TGCTGAGGAAACTGCTGAGAAAAATGTCGCCTTTGCTGCGTTTCACATTTGGGAGGCATCAGAAGTAGCTCTCCCGTTGAGCTGAAGCGGTCCTGTGCTTTGGTTCATCCCCGTGACTATCAGGATTTGGGGGTGTTTTTCTTAAGAAATAACATCACACGATCTCTTCAGTGAAGCGGGTGCTGGAGCCTGCGGCAGGTTTTCGCCTCCTGCCCCGAGCGAGGTCCGAGGGGTCGGTAGGGTCCCGCTGGAGACCCCGCTGGCGCGGCTGCCCCGTGCGCTGTGCATCGCCCAGGTGGTTTGGTAGCCCTGGGGATGCGTGTCCCTGCTTACCGCTTACTGTCTGCTCAGGTTAACCATCGCTGTCTGCCCGCGACGCAGTTTGCTCTTGTACGGTCACACCGAAGCTGCTTTGGAGAGAGCAAGAGAAAAGAAAGGAGGGCGAGAGGAGGCAGTGAAAATATTCCATTGCAGTTGGACTAAGTGATAAACACATAACATGATCCCTTTCCTCTGTGTGTGCGTGTCGCTGACACACGTGTGGAAATACCCGCTGTGCGCGTTGTGTATGTTAACAGGCACCCTTGGCCTGCCAGCATCAAAGTTCATCGCAGGTTTTCCGAGACATCTCTGCTTACAGCCCTCAGTCTAGCGGGTAGGGCAGCGTCACTGCCACACCACCCTCAGCATAGCGGGCAGGCTAATAGAGATGTTAGATTTTAATGGCAGTAAGGCTTCTGTAATTCTTAAAGTGCGACTCAATTATTTTTGCTGTGTTTTAACAAGTTCTGTGACTAAGAAAAGCAACTGAAGTATTTTGGCACAGCAGTGACAGTGATTAGTTCACCTTTATAATTTGGTTTAAGGCAGGTTTTTCTCTCTTAATATCTTGATTTATTTTTTTCAATGTTAATCATTCTGGCTTCCAGCACTCTGGTGGAAAAACTTTCTTCATTTCAAAGTGTAATGGAGAGTGTTTGCTTCACAGGCTTTCATACTGTATGTTCCAAGATTTATTGTTGTTTAACCGTCTATTACAAGAACTACCCCTGAAGTAGTGAACTCTTCCAGAAAAATTACTTGCTTATTAGAAAATGATTCGTGTCCATCCTGAACAAGGCAGTTCTCTTTCACCAACATCTCTCTCGAGGCGTGAGTGCCCATAGCAGGCAGGGAAATGTGTCTGTGAAAGTGTTTTAGCGGCGTGGGGAGCCCCGGGGTAGCTGTCACTGTTTCCATTCTCTAAACAATTTTAATGCTATTAGCAAGTGTGATTATGTACAAACCGCTTTCTGGGGGGTTCCTAGGCTGGATATCAGAGCAGGGCTTTGTACTGAGTCAAAGGGTGGATTGAGTTTATGACACAGTTTAAATAGAAACAGAAGAGCAGTACTACAGTAGAGCAGCACGTTGTAATTCATTCAGGATCGTTTTGTGATAGCTGTTCAGGGAAGTACTCGCTTCCTACCAGTTTATTTGAGAACATCTTTCAGGGTCACCCATGAGTAAGGAGCTGAACATAGAGAGTGTTAACCCTGGGTTTTTTTGCAGCTTTTTGGTTTTGTTTTAAATAAAAAGGAAAAGGAAAGAAGAGGCTAACTGGTAGGTCTCTCTTTAAATTTAGGCTGCTTTTTAAATGCCTTCATTTTTCTGCTTAACCATTTATTTTTTAAAGGTGAAGGATCTACAAGGAAAGAGGTAATATGCACTAATTTGGCATCTTGTTATAAATAAGACATATTTATTCTATTCATTGCAACCCAGAAGTGATTAGTGCCAGTTATATCTCCAGATAAGACATAATTATCAAGACTTCAGTAAATGCCTTGGTTTGTGGGCACTGCTTAGGTTCAATGGTCAGGTATAAACTCACAACTGTATTTTGTTGTTAGGTTTTAATAACATTGAAATAACAGAAAAGTTCTGTAACTGATGGAAAGGCTTTTTTGTCCTATGTATCTGCAGTGTGATCATAACACAGAAGCAGCAGGGGAGGGGTGTGGAAAGGCTTTCTCAACGACACAGAGTAAGTACTGCTTTACAGAGCACAGCACAGCCACAGATACCATCTTCTGAAGCCTTTTTTGGGGACCAGCTTGAGTCCCAGCTCCTGTCTTGTTCTCTCCACAGGGCGGCTGCCCTCTGCTGTCGGAAACTGCCTTTCCAGTGTTGGCGTTGCTGCAGGGGTGATGGCAGGGAGATAAGGGAGGGCAGGCTGCAGGGAGAGGGAATTTCTCAGCCCCTGTGATGCACTTTGAGGAAGCAGAGAAGCCGTTGGGCACGCAGTCCCTTCATCACGTCACTGCACTGATGGCCACGAGGGACTCTTGCTGCTTGTGCAAATAACAACTGACAAGACACTTACAGTTTCCGCCTGCCAGCTAAATAAACCAGGCAAAGGCCAGCAGCATTGGATCAGTTAGCGTGAATGATTTTTAGATCCAAGAAGTGGCACAAGTGGTACATTTTAGACAGATTCCAGCTATCAGGAAAGCTTCAAATGTAATTTGTGGGCATAAATTTGGTGTGAAGCAGATGAGATCAGACTGTGTATAAGTCCGTGCTCTTAATAGTGGAATCTGCTACCTGATGCACAGCATAATGTGATTTAGTCTGTTCTCAGTTTCTAACTGCAAGACCAGTAAATATTTCTGCACACAGCCCTCACTGTTGCGAGTAAGACAGTGAACAGTTGACTTATGCTAGTGTATATTGACTTTGTGGGGATGGAGTGGTATCGTTTGTCCCTGTTACTTTCTTCTATGTTTTCCTAATCACTGTTAACACGACAAAGATATTTGATATACAGCACGTGCTTCCTGGGCCATCCTTAGACCAACGTGAGACTGTCTCATTGGATAGCTTGCAAAACCCAGCCACAGCAAATACTAATCTCTGCCATGGAAAGAGCCAGAGGAGCTGATGGTTTTCCTTGAATAGATAAGCATGTATTTTCCAATTCTGAGACATCCAAAATTATGTAGTTCTGCTTCATGTTTAAAATGGCCTGTATTTTTGAGCATGACTTGCCCATTAGGTGTAAACCAACACATTCTATAGAGCTTAGCCCTTCTAGAAAGAAATGCATCCCTTTAAACATGTCCTGTTTGGTAATTAAGAAATTTCCAATAGAATATCTGGTTGCTTCTGGAAGAGTCAGTACCTGCCCCTGTGGGCATCAGTAGCATCAGCTCTGTCCATCTACATCTGTATTTTGGAATGGAAATGTTTTGATATCCTGTATGAGTCAATTGATGTTTTGAACGTTGTGTGCTTTAATTACAGCCTTCATTCCCAAAGAGAATGCTACCAACAACGGAAGAATCCAGGCCCAATATTTGAGTTGGACACCTTCAGACTTTATCAGTCTGTAGCTTCCGAAGTCTTTTTTGGTGCAGCTTAGGGATGGAGTGTTCCTACAAAAAGTCTTGGAGAGAAGGACTTTTCTTTTTTTTTTTTTTTTATTCTTAGATAGCTGTGGTCATCTCCTATGTGGTTTGCTTTGGTTTACTCATTTGAGGCATTTCAGGAATGATCCTCCAGTTGTGTTCAGTGTAACCTCAGCAGGGTTTTAAATATGTGTAAGCTCAACATAATTATGAAGTTTTGTTTGAATAATCTTTGTATGAGGGAGATCCTGCCTGCCTTCCTGCCCAGGGCGCAACGCCTCCTGCAGTGATTCAGCTGTATGGCTAATTTTAAAATAAACTAAAGTTACACATTTTCTTGACACAGTGCTAGTGCACACTGTTCTCTGCAGACTGAGGCACTCTGCCTGTGGTTCATAAACACATTTACAATCCCATTTCCCTCCCTGTGCTCAGAGGGGGTTGGTTTGCATTTCTAATTAATGGAGTTTATAAAGGAATAAGCCAGTACGTTAACTGAAAATTCCCTCAAGAATTGTAAACTTACTTCATTAGCTGCCCTCGTGTAATCGTATCACTCTTTCTCATGTGAGCCTAGGGGAGAGCGAATGCTACGCGGAGCAGAAACCCTCCTCTGCTGTGAGTTGCAAGGGGAAGCGAGTCTCCCGTGCGGTCATGTTCTGCAGCCCAGCTCCTGTTCAGGTTACCTCCTTTGTCTACCTGCCTGTTCCTACCGTCAGCTTGGTGTCTCTGGCTAAGGCAGCAAACGGTGGGAGGTGATTTCAGGACCTCTCTTGGTGGAGTCAGAGAGTAGTCAGGAGCTTTCAGAGAATGCTGTAATCTTGCTGAAGTAAAACCTATTTACTCGTTGCAGGAGCTATGGTTTCTGAATGCAGGAATTTACACAGAGTCTGAATTTTCTTTACATCGTGTGGAAACAAATACCATAACTGCCCGCTGATGTCAGCTGGGAGCTCATGGCTCAGCACATCTAAGGTGTAAATGCCCTGTGTTTCAGTGTTAACCTGGGACAATTATTTTAGGATACATGTTAAGGTATTAGTTTAATGCTGAGAAGCCTGAAGAACTAGTGGACTCCATTCAAATCTCTCAACCCTTATTATATTATGCTTACTATGTTGTACTTGGTTAGCAAGCCGTTACTTAGCAAGGTAGATTAATCTTTCAACATGTTTGGGTGAGTAACTGGACTTCCTTTTGCTTTCCACAGACCGACATTCAGAATGGCAGGCTTGTCGACTTTAATCCTCCTTTTGTGTGCTGCTAAAGATGTGATGCCCTCCAGTTCTCACGGGAAACCAACTTGGCCATCTTACAGAGTTCCAGTTATCCTGCCACAGTCTACCCTTAACTTGGACAAACCACAGTTTGATGCTGAAGCCAGACTGGAAGTGGTATCTCCCTGTGGCCCTGCGTGCCACAAAAGTTCTCCGCTGCCAACGTATGAAGAAGTGAAGAACTATCTGTCCTATGAAACCTTGTACGCTAATGGTAGCCTCACTGAAACTGAAGTGGGCATATATATTCTGAGCAGTAGCGGTGATGGGTCTGAAGGCAAATCTCGAACTAAGAGACAGATCTATGGGTATGACAGCAGGTTTAGCATTTTTGGGAAAGACTTCTTACTGAATTACCCATTTTCCACATCGGTGAAGCTATCTACAGGTTGCACGGGGACACTAGTGGCTGAAAAGCACGTTCTTACTGCCGCTCATTGTATCCATGATGGCAAGAGTTATGTCAAAGGAGCTCAGAAACTGCGGGTGGGGTTCCTAAAGCCCAAACTGAAAGATGGCAGCAAAGGGGCCAATATCACCAACTCGGCAATGCCTGAGAAAATGAAATTCCAGTGGATCCGAGTGAAACGGACACACGTCCCCAAAGGATGGATCAAAGGCAATGCCAATGACATTGGCATGGATTATGACTATGCCCTGCTGGAGCTGAAGAAACCTCATAAAAGAAAGTTTATGAAGATAGGTGTGAGCCCACCAGCGAGACACTTGCCTGGAGGGAGGATTCACTTCTCTGGCTATGACAACGATCGTCCGGGAAATCTGGTTTACCGTTTCTGTGATGTCAAAGATGAAACCTATGACCTGTTGTACCAGCAGTGTGATGCCCAGCCGGGTGCGAGTGGATCTGGGGTGTACGTGAGGATGTGGAAGAGGCAGAATCACAAATGGGAGCGTAAAATTATTGGAATATTTTCAGGTCATCAGTGGGTGGACATGAATGGCACCCCACAGGATTTCAATGTAGCTGTTCGCATCACACCCCTCAAATACGCACAGATCTGTTACTGGATCAAAGGCAACTACCTTGACTGCAGGGAAGGATAAAAACAATGAAACTTATTGAAAGCACTTAATGACTGGTGTTAATTACTAACCTGAGGAAAGGCTAGACCTCTGCTGCAAATGTTTGTGATTTGATCTTTTAACATCGGGATGTGATGATATATAGTTTTTCAAGCAAGCCACCTTGCTCTTGGGACAGGGGCTGTGTGGTTCTGTCTTACAGCTAGAAACTGGGGAGAAAGGAAGGTCTGTTGGGTGGGGAGGAGCAGGTGGCTTGCTGAATTTGCAGCTGAGCAACTGAAGATTAATTAGGGGCGGATCGGTAAACAGTACGAAATCAGAACCGTCTCCAAAGAATCTTACAAAAGGGACGCTGTTGACTATCTCATGCCTACAATGTTTGTTTTAATAAATCCTAGGATTAGTAGAAATGCTTCGATCTGAACTTTTAAAAGAAAATATTTCTATGCTGTTGGGGGCTGAAGAGGGCCATTTAATGGTGTTTGCAACCCAAACATTACAGCTTTGTGTTCCTGCATGAGAAAGGGAGTGTGGAAAGGGCAAGGCGTGCGCCGTGGGAGATGAATGCCACACAAATAGCGTGAAGGGTAAATAACGCGTAACACTTCTAACCTTCTTTCGGCCTGAGTGATTTGAGACTTTATTAGTAACATAGTTAAGAAAAATGCTTTTTGAACAAACAGACCTTGGTGTTGCAAGGTGATGTTGATGTTGGTTATATGAGCAGTGCCATTGCATCCTGCTTTGGGAAACACCAATCATACATGGGCTTAGATCTTTATAGCAGCTGGGGCATAGCCTTACACCTAGTAGCATCCCTGTGAATATACTCTTATAGAAAGCATATGGGGAGAGAGACTTGTCTTCTGTTACAACCTACTTAGATCCTTTAAGGAAAATATGTCAGCAACTCAGATCTTCAGAGGGAAGCCTGTCTTTGGTCTTGCTGGCCATCTGAATTGCTGCCTGCAAAGCAGGTAAAGGGGAGAGCAGGACAAGGGTTCTACTGAGTTTTCCCCCTTTTTGTTAGAGATCCATGCTGTTCTACCTAAAAATACACCAGGTAGAGGGACCCTAGATTAATAAGTGTCTCTCTGGTCAAATCCCTTTGACAATGTAATTTGTTCAGCATCTTGACTTCTGCTTCTTGTGTTGTTTGTGGTAGGAATCTTCCTCCCCATCAAATTGTTGAGCTACAAATAATTCTTGGCAAATGCACAGTTCAGTAATTCTGCAGCTGGAATAGAGCCACATTATAGGGTGCAATCTGAGTTTGCTATGAAGTGATGCTCTGCTGTCTCTTGTAGATAACGGTGACTTACATTTTTACTGTAGCAGAATTGGAGTTTAAAACAAGAACTGTATTTTATAGGTAAAATCAGTGCAGCCAAATATTTGTAGCTCAGCAAACAGCATTGGGAAAGTCAACGTGATCTGTACAAAGAGTGTTTCTCAGGTGGATTGTGCCACTGTATTGCAGTAACATGGTTAAGTACATGCTGCCATGCCAATATTTTTTAAAATAGGATAGACACTGGCTCTAGTTCCAGTTTCTCTTCTATCCATCTCTCACTGTCTCCTGAAGCTTACCAAGTTGCCCATGGTGCTTGGTGTTGTGGGGCAAATGCAATTCCCCGGTGTGAAATGGCAGAACTGGGAAGGGATGAATTTAAGCAGAGCTTCCCTATGCTACACAAATACAAGGAAAATGTTAATTCAGCTAAGCCTTTCTTACACTCTACTAATTACTATGGCATTTGTAAACATATGCCTGATGGTGCTTTATCTTTGTGATGGCTTTGGCTCTAGTTCTGAAAAACATTTTTTGCTAGAGCTGCCTATGATTATTATTTTTGTAGGTGCAGCGTACAAAAACATGGACCCTCATGTGGGCTTTTGGTGCACTCAGAAACAAGCAGTTACTAATGCTTTGAAATATGAATAATCACCATATGTATCTGATGGTCTTTTTCTGCCTTTTTATTTTAATTTCCTTTATTCTGTGGCTGTTATCTGGAGCACTTTTGTTTGAATGTATCACAGTGAATAAAGAAAAGTTATGGAATTTCAATGCAGACATTCTTGTATTTGTACTATACTTGGGTTGCACTTTCAGTCTCGTTTCAGTTACTTATTTGGAAGGACATTCAGATACAGAACAGATGTATTAATATCCTCAATGCTGTTTATTTTCTTACGGTCTTCTTTTGTCTCCAGCTGTTACAGAAGTAATTTAACTTTTTTTTCAGTAAGCTTAATTACCCTGTGTCTTTGGACAGTAATAATCAATCTTCGCTTTCATATAATTGTTGCAGTTCCAAAGCCAGTCATGAGCTCAGATTAGTTAAAGCTGAAAATAACGTATTAGTCTAAGGAGTCATGTTGTTTTTGTTAACTTTAGGGTCAATAAACTGTGGAGGAATTTGAACCAGTCAGTATAAGGACATAGATCAATTCCATCTTCCTTCAGCTGATGCAGTAAGAAAAAAAGTTCTTCTGAAGGCAATGGTGAGACCCACAGCTTGCTGAGGAACACTGGAGTGCAGAAATATTCTACTTTTTGATTTAGGAATTGCTACCCATGCACCTTTCCTGATCTTTGGATGTGCATACTACATCATATGGGCTTGAGAACATCATTCCTGGCTTATGGGATATATTTCCCATCCACCGGTCCTATGTGCTCAGCTGCTTCGTCACACTGTAGGCTGAGATCTTTTATTCTCTCGAGATGACTGGCAGAGTGGAGTTGTGCAGAAGACAAATGAGCTAGAGTAAAGTGAGCAAGTTTGTTGTTTTTTTTTTTTTAAATGTATGCAGCAAGTTTAGTGTAATCGGGGGTGGGAGAGTCTCTATCGACTGTACACCCTATGCAAACATTCCAGATTGTTTTTGGAAAGAAAAGGATATCTTGGATAACATGGGTAGAATTGTTGTGCTAAAGCTCCACATTGTTTCACCTGTGCCCATCTGAGCTGGTGGTAATTCATTCCCAGTGGGGTTGGGCCATTGCCAGGTGGGTTTGGAAATTGTGTTCTGAGTACATTTGCCTTGATGCTGTAAACAGGGCTTTTTTAAACCCAGAACTTTAAACTGTGAGAAAGATAGCCATCCTGCAAAAATAGTTCATCAAGGAAACACAAATAACTAAACTATGTACAAGCATGACACTAGAAATTTAATTGTCTGACTGATGATGACTGCTGATGATCTGCAGGACTGAATCGAGTGCCTCACTGTTCTTGTCTCTGAAGGGAGAGCAGCAGATGGGTATAGAAGGGCTGTTTTGGTTGTGAATGGCAAGGATTACAATCTTCTCATGCATCTTTAAGAGACTGACATAAGAAAAAATTCTGGTTAATATGATATAGCTCCCTTGGAGAACAGTGCTGGAGATGGAAACTGAAGTCTCGAGAAAGCACAGACCATGCCGAGCTCTTCCAGAGTGCACAGTGAATTTAGCCTACTGAAGACTGCAGAATATCATGAAGTTTCTTTCTCAGAGGAAAGGTATTTTCCTTGCATCTGTAATTGTTTTGCGACTGAATTCCCAGGCCTGCCTGTTTAGAGGGCAGCCCTCATCTTAAAGTTGCACGCTGAACTCCAAGCAAGTATAATACATGCTTGAAATTCTTTTCCGTGTTTCCACTTAATCTGCCATTTGTTAGCAGGTTTTGGTAGCGTGCCAACGCAATACACACAGGCTTTGAGAGGAGAAGCTTTCAAAGAGTGGATAAAGTATGATGGGTGGGTAAAAACTTCTTTACTTCCCTGGAATAAAAAGGAAGTGTGGACAGAGAAGAGCAGCAAGAACGAAAGGGCAATGTGATTGGTATCACAGGAGCAAGATTCCTGGTGAATCGGTTGCTGTGTATATGTGCACATGTATGGCTGTGCATATGGGGGTGGGTTTATGAATGATGCTGTGCATTTCCATTCCCTGTTCTACTAGGTATAGAAGAAAAACTTATGAGTTGAAGTAAATTAAGGCTCTTGAAATGAGTGCGTAAATACCAAATCTGAGGCCAGTGTGCAGCACGTAGGAGAAGTTTAGGCTGTGAATTGTCTACAGGTACACAAGAAAAGTATGTCAGTGACATTAGAATTCGGAACCTGATCTTTTCCAACCAGATGTTTTTTCCTGTCTCACATGGTGACTATTAGGTTGTGTGTGCTTTGTGCCTGCTGTTGAAGGTACTGTGAGCTTTTATAGGTCAGTGATTAAACAAGAGAAGAAAAGAGAAACATCTTAGCATGCCCCAAGCACTATTATCAACACTGATTATTCCCAGGATAAAATGATTAGTGATGCTTTGGGTGTGGATTGATTTTGAACTAAATGGAAATAGGTTGAGTCATGAAGCAGGCTCATAAGGTTTTTTTATCTAAAGATCTGTAACTGTAATTAAGTGATTGTGGCCCAAGGGGAGACAATGAATGTTGATCTGCAAACATTTTATGGACAATGTTTATTTTTTTTATAGTAAGTTCCATTTAAAAGATAAATATGCATCAGCAGAGATCTACAAGAAGGTAAACACTTCTATTACTTTACCAAGCAAATGATAATTATATAAAATACTCCTTTTAAATATCACATAATGAAAATATCTGATACATGTTAACTGACATTTGCTCATTTGCACTCGATTCAGTTTTGGAAATCACCGTTCATGCTGAGTTGATGAGGGGAGAGTATTTTTCTGGCAAGCCTGGCCAACTCCAATATAAAGAGCATGTTCATGAAATACTGACATGTGATGGGAGTATGAAAGTTGTTAGCTCTTACTGGAGTGACAACAGTAATAAGGTATAATAATTTTTTCCAGCTTATCCTAAATAATTTCCTATAATTTTATGCCATATTATCATGGATTTGGTGATTTTTCACAGGTTGCATACATTAAGAAGTTAATGATGATTTTTTTTTTGTTTTGTTTTTGTTTTTTTGTATCCCCTTACTTGTGAAGCCAAACATATTTACTGCTACGGGAAGGTCGTAAGAGGACAAAAATGTTCACATTTGTGAAAGCTCATTAAAGACTTTTCTAACATAAAGTCCCAATTCTGACCTGAAGCTAAACTATATTTGACATCATACAGAAAGAAGTAGTTTAAATGGGGTGGTTTAGATGAGTTTAAACCCGAGCTAGCTAGAAAACAGTTCCTTTTTGGTGTTTTCCCACTGTCTCCATTCTTCTCCTTCTGTTCCTCTCCATGCTTGGAAAACTTCCTGTGATGAAAAAGAGTGGAGATCCTTAAAAACAAGGGGATAAGGTGCACTTCAGAAAACCTGTTCAACTGGTATGTTTCCTTCTGCAAAGAGGGTGCCAACCAAATGGCTTGACTGTTCTGATCATACTGGGACAAGCAGGTGGCACTTGCTCTGGTTTTGACCAAGAATTCCCACCTGGATCAAAGAAACCTTTCTCATAAAAACTTGTTTGAAGTCAGGGTGTTTCAACAAAGCTTTGATTTCTGTGAATTGCTATAAAAGCCCATTATTCTAATAAATTCCCAGTCAGACCCTGCTTCAGTTAACCTTTCCTGTGGTGGTGTTCTCGTCCTCGTGGTAAGGAGGATGGAGTTCCTGCTTGGAAGATGATACCATGGCTTGTCAACAGCTTTCAACAAAATCCTCTTGTCCAAAAGTCATGTTTTACCTGAATTTATTGCAGTCTTGTTCCTTCTGAA